CACTTCCCTGGCTGCAAACACCTCGGAAGCTGCAAACACCTCCGTTCTCTGGCAGGCCCCTGACTTAGAAATAGGCTCTTGGATTACAATCAAATTAAAACTCTACTCTTGCTGCTTCAGCACAATCAATACATCCCCTTTCACAATGCACAACAGTCAAGGAGAAAGCAACTGCCAGAGCCCCAAAGTCAACATGGTTGCTTGGGATGAGATTCCTAAACACAGGTCAAAGTGACAGAGAAGCAGAAAACACAGATGAGCAGGACCCTATCTGTCAACTTAAGCATTTAAAGAATGTCTATATATGGCCAGGTGTGGTGGCTCATGCCTATAATCCCAGCATTTCGGGATGCCGAGGTGAGAGGACTGCCTGAGCCCAAGGGTTCGAGACCAGCCTGGGCGGACAACTTAGCGAGACCTCATCTCTACAATTAAAAAAAAAAAAAAAAAATTAGCCGGGCATGGTAGCACGTGTCTGTAGTTCCAGCTACTTGAAAGGCTGAGGCAGAAGGGATCACCTGAGCCCAGCAGGTTGAGGCTGCGGCGGCCATGAGCATGCCAATGCACTCTAGCCTGGGCAACAGAGTGAAACTCCGACTCAAAAAAAAAAAAAAAGATGTATGTATGCATGTATGTATTTATTTCGGTCAGGGACTCACTGTTGCCCAGACTGGATTGCAGCAGCATGCTCACTGCAGCTTTAATCTCCTGGGCTCAAGCCATCCTTTTGCCTCAGCCCCCCGAGTAGCTGGGACTACAAGCACACACTACCACACCTGGCTAATTTTTAAATTTTTCTGTACAGTCAAGGTCTCACCACGTTGTTTGGGCTGGTTTCAAACTCCTGGACTCAAGCAGTCCTCTCGCCTCAGCCTTCCCAAAGTGCTGGGATTACAGGCGTGAGTCACCGTGTCTGGCCAGATTTATTATTTATGCTAATACAGTTTGGTTCCAAAATTTTTTATTTGGCAGATGTTCCTAGCATTAAAAAAGTGAAACCAATATAGAATTATCATTAAGGAAAAACTGAACTAATTCTATAACCTAAATAGCTCAGCACATAAAGTATTTATTTTCCTGTTCTAAGAAAGAAAAGAATTTTTACTCCATCTGGCATTTTTCATCAGAAGACAAATCACAGAAAAGTTAAACTTTTGGCCCAAGTAATGGCTTCATTCATTTCAGCTTTTCTGGAAGTGAATATTAGTCATCCTTTGCATTAAGAAAATCATCCTCCTTTTCTGCATCTGAGGAAGCCAAGATGATCCAGAACATCAACTATCTCATCACATCGTCACCATCAGAAGTGGAAAGTAGGAGATGGGCCCACTGTGGGTGTCTTTAATTCTGCCCTCAACTTCCAAGTGTAACAAAGTATTCAGTCACTTCCTGTTTCTCTTCCTAGTCTCCCTTAACCAACTCGAGAGATGGGTGTGACCAGGTTCAGGGATGGGGATAAGCCATTCTCAGCTCTCATCCTTTTCCCGGTATTTTGGAACTTTATCACAGCTGCTCTCAAGTCATGTTGATTCTGCGTTTGAAGGTCAAAAAAGGCTGAATGAGCAGTGCCTTTAAAAAAAAAATCCAAATCCAGGCACTGCTCATTTAGCCTTTTTAACCTTCAAAGGCAAAAATCAACATGACTTGAGTAGCCATGAAAACGGTCCAAAATATATTTCCCCAAGGCCTCGAACTTATATCTATGAGATGGAGGATCAAATGAGACCCCATCTCGTAGGCAGCAAGAAAGGGCTTCATGGAGTTGGGCATGGTGGCTCACACCCGTAATCCCAGCACTTTGGGAGGCAAAGGCTAGAGGATTGCCTGAGAAACATGCGAGACCTCGTCTCTACAATAAATCATAAAATCAGCCAGGTATGGTGGTACAACCCTGTGGTTCCAGCTACTTGGAAGGCTGAGATGGAGGGATTACCTGAGCCCAGCAGGCTGAGGCTGCGGTGGCCGTGAGTGGGCCATTGCACTCCAGCCTGGGCAACAGTGTGAGACTCTGACTCAAAAAAAGGAAAAAAGAAAGAAAGAAAGAAGAAAGGACTTCGTGGATTCAAGGGTTAGTGCCATAATTGAGCCCAAGCATATGCACAGCTCTAAAGCCTTTGCTAAAAAGCCTGAGGTCAGCCGGGCTCGGTGGCTTAGCCTGTAATCCCGCGCCTTTGGGAGGCTGAGGTGAGTGGATTGCCTGAGCCCGCGGGTTTGAGACCCGCCTGGGCAGCGAGACCTCATCTCTACAATAAATAAAAATATCAGCCGGGCATGGTAGCGCATGCCTGTAATTCCGGCTACTCGGAAGGCTGAGGCAGAAGGATCGCCAGAGCCCAGCAGGTGAGGTTGCGGTGGCCGGGAGGGGCCACTGCACTCCAGTCTGGGCGACAGAGTGAGACTCCAACTGAGAAAAAAAAAAAAAAGCCTGAGGTCATCTCGTACAGCAATGACCAGTGTGGTGGGCTTAGACAGCCTCTGCATGAGAACTTCTGCCAAATCTAGAAAGGCCAGAGGTCATCTCACCCAAACATTATCAGCACCAAGAACTCACATTCAAACAACAGCACACACATTCACTGAAGGTTCACAAAAGGACCCCAGTGGCCCTCCACACCAGCTTCAAAATTGGCACCATCTCTTCTTTCTCTACAAGAGACGTGAAACCTCAGGGAAGGAGGATCCCCCTATGAGAAAAAAGTTGAAGATATCCTCCTTGGAGGAAAAATCTATTACCTGAGAATACATGGTCAAGCTATGTGGACATGTGCAAATTGTCAATGAATTACCTGTGAATGTTCTTAGAGGGTCTTCTCTAAACCGGATGTGGCAACGTGACCCTCTGTGGAAGTGTGAGGTATGCTAGCATCTACTGCAGGAGAGAGGTCAGATGCAGGCCCAGGAAACCTTCAGAAAGATCAGGCTTGCAACAGTCCTCACACTTGCTCAGAAATGGGCTCGGTATTCCAAACAGGAGAGGACAGTTGGCTAAATCTTCTCATAACACGAATTGTTCTCTTTTTCGAGCTTCATCAAATGTCTACCTGTTTTCCACTGAACAGTAAGCAATTTCTTCTCAACATGGGTCTATAAAAGGAAATTGAGTCGTCAAAAGGCTGCCCCAAAAGGGAAATAGCTTAGGATAACACAGTCTTCACAACACATTCTCTAATTACATTATTATTATTATTATTATTTTAATTGTAGAGATGAGGTCTCACCAAGTTGCCCAGGCTGGTCTCGAACCCACAGTCTCAGGAATTCACCAGCCTTGGCTCGGTGGCTCAGCCTGTAATCCCGCGCCTTTGGGAGGCTGAGGTGAGTGGATTG